TATAAGTGAAATATGTTCTTCACGAAGATCAACTTCAGGATCATATAAAAATGTTGATTGTTGAATTTCCGATTGTTTAATATTGTTTTCATTTGAGACTTGTTTAAAAAAATTAACAACACCAGTTTTTATTCTTTGTAGAATATTTGGATTATTCTCTTTTATTATTGATGATGATGAAGTTGATGATGATGAAGAAAAAGAAGATGGATTTGTTGGATTTGAATGATAATGTAATGTATTTGTTGATGAACTATAGGTTTTTGTAATTAAACTATTGGATTTTGATGCTAATGTTCCTTGTGTTGGACAAGATGCATTACGTGTAAATTGATGAGTTGACGACGTTATTGATGGCATTGTTTAAACCCTATAATGTTATAGAATGATTAAAGAAAAAGTATTTCTTTAGATGTTACCTTTATCTATATGAATGTCACCGAAAAAGGAGAGTTGAGTTGTGTATGATGGGGTATAGTGTCGTTGTCGTCGCACACTCGCTCTGAACTAAAAATGCATTGCAAGGAGGCCGTTACTCTTTTTCTCTCTTTTTCTATTCTCTTATTCTCTCTCTTTCTCATTTTCTTCTTGCTTAGTTATATATATTTCTCTTTTTCTTCGTCTATATTCTTGTTAAACACAGCTGATTGTCGATGAAGCAAACGGGGTACAAAACCATACATTTCTCGACCGGGTCGTTTGTTCGTTCCTTCTTTCTCTCTCTTATTTTCTATGGTGTCTATGTAAGGAGGAAAACAGCTGCTTGTCGGGTTCAATGATTGGTTATAATTTTGACAACTTCATCTGACTATAATAGAAAGAGAAAAAAAATGACAAGAACGAAAAAAAATCTCGTTTTTTTTCTTTCTCTTCACATATGTCGTTCAATGCTTAAGGGTGGTATATGTTATTCACGATAATGATGTGAAATCGGCACAAAAGATCTCTCGATTGTATATATGTATGTTACATAGGATGAACGAAAGCTCCCGGCTATCGATCACACATGCCTTGTAAAGTATTCATCATTAAAAAGAAAAATTTTTGTTTTATTCTGTTCAACATTTTTCAATTGAGGAAAAAAAAGAAGAAGAAAAAGCTCATTATCACTCTCGTTATACAAATGACAGAAGGCGAGAACAACTGCAGCTGATATTAACCATACATCATAACAAAACAAAAAAAAAAGAGAGATGCCAAATTGACCTATTCAGTTTTTTTTAGTTGATTATTTGAATACAAAAGAAACTATTTAGATTGTTAAATTAATTTATAAACACTAGTTGTTATTTGATCTAATTGACAACGATTCTATTTCGAAAGATCTGATTTCTTCTTATGACTAAGCGCAAGTACATGCTTGCTTGCTTTTTCATTTAATTACCAATACTTTATTCTTATCAAACTCATCATGTCTGTTTACTAATGATTCCTTTTTGAAAAAGAAAATATATATATATATATAGACATACAAGTTTGTATGCAACAAACTTACCACCTGTCATTACTGTACAGGTTAATTATTGATTGACAGAAATAGAATAAAAAATGGTCAGTCTGACAATTCTTTTTGTAAATATACTTGAAAAAACGATATTAATAATTTCGATAAACACTTGAAATGAGGTTTTTTTTGTAATTAATTTTCGATGAAAGAACAACAAATCAAATACAGACAATTTATATTTTCTCATCTATTTAATAAGAAAAAAAGTCAAATAGATGAGAATCCTTTTCTTTTTCTTTTTTTGTTGTATTACTCTAAGGAGTGTCATCTATTCAATATTATAACGATATATGAGAGTAAACGAGAACGAGAGAAAAAAAAAAGAAAGATCCTCTAAGCCGACTGTTATTGTTATTATGAGTTTTGCAAATGGATGATATTTACCAAACATTCTTTTTTCTTCTCTATTGCATATGTTCTCATCAGTTGGTCTTAATCCATTTTGAACTATTATGTATGTCAATAGTCCAATCATTCCATTTCTCTACATGACGCCAGTTGTCAACTATAAACAACAAATAGTTATTCTAAATCTCTTGTGTATTTAATGCACCATCAATCACCTCTGAGTTCTATTCATATATATATGTATGTATGTATCAATAGAGATACAATAATTTTAATACTATATACAAATATATATATATATATGAGATCCTCTTGAGACAGACGAATTTTTTTTATGATTAGATCTTATCAAATACCAAATGACGCTTACTTAAATTATATTGATATGCAAAGAAATGAGTATCCTATACAATCACGATCATGAGCATAAAAGAGAAAGAATTAATTCATATTTGCATATTTGACACCATCATCAAACACACACACATTGGCACTCAAGAGGGGAGTGGTCCTTTGTCGGGATATTGTCTATATATCTTTTGTGTCGGTCACAGTATGACACAAAAAATCTGAACCTTTGGAAAAATAAAAGACGAGAAATAACCAGAATGTGTGAATTATACACCTGGCAAGACAAAAAAAACTTCTCTTAGAAAATCATAAATTAAGCATACATGCATGAATGATTTCTTCCGGAAGAATCTGACTTTAACCATTTTTTGATTTAGTCAGACATTTTCAGGATGTATGCTTTGTATGGAAGAAGAAGAAAAAAAGAAAATCTATTGACATTAAATATATATCCGTTTTTCTTGTAATATGTACATTGTTCGTGATCACACTTTTTTTTTATCTTAATTTACTCATCGAATAGAAGAGTTCAAAGTGTGTGTGTGTGCATATATATACACACGTATTATAAAGAAATCAAAGCATCAAATATAAGAGAATATTGTTGATTTACTTGAAAGAAAAATCAACGTTCAATACAGATGAAGTTTTTCAAGTGATATTGCGTTGAATACTTCACATCTGCTCTATTGAAAGCTAAAGCAAATGTCATCGATTATAATCTTGCCTTTTCTTCTTACGTGATAATATCAGAGTATATACATATTCATATATAGGGATGATTTAACTGTTGAACGAAATTAATGTCAATAGATTATATGTTATCTTATTTCAATATCTTCGATAAAGACAATTAAGAAATGATATGTTTATTAGTCTTGACAAACAATATCTAATATCAACTTGAATTTTAACACCTTCAAGTGTTTTCGTAAACTTTTCTTTTGTTTTATATATTCTATACAATCATATGATTGCTTTTTAATGAATAATATAACAGAAATGAAATGTTAAAATAAGTATTTTATAAATGATTATTTGAATGTAATGACTTGACATGTTGAAAGAAAATGCTCCACTTTATAGTCGTCGTCTAGTGATTTATTTAAGCAAATTTATATTATACTGATTGTTATGAATATTATTTAGCTATAAAATCAGAATAAATGTATGTCTTAAACATGAATACATTGAGGTAGATAAAAGAAACTATATTTCTTAGTACATATCTTTATTTTGACCTATTTGTTTTCTATTCTGAGTGAATGTAATGACAAATTTTTGATAATAACTTAGGTTTTATTATAAAAGTATCATTATAGATGCTACTGAAGTGTTTTTTACCTTTTATTTCTTGTCAAGATTTTATCATGCGAATAATATTTAATGGTACTATTAAAGCATAAAATAGAATAAATAAGAAATAACACTAGTATAATTTGTATTAGAAATGAAATCATTACCGAATAATGAAAAAAATGTCGAATTAACTTACTCGACCGAAATATGTATATATTAAAAAGTATGTTGTAAGGCAAAATTTGACGCTAATTGTCAACGATATATACTATTGATTTTATTTTTTCAATAATCAAGCTATTGTAATACAGATATTCACTTTTTGATATAACTCACATTTACTATGGAAAACTTGTTATTAGACAAGTCATGAGTTTAATATTTTAATATTGAATAAAGAGTAGAATGACAGATAAACTCTTGACATCAAGAAGAGGTTCGCAAATATAACAGAATAATTTTATTTGAACAATCTCACATTCATATCAAATATTGAACACAACTCTTGCTCTATTATAATTTCCATCTCTTTTTATTAGATGAAGAGAGAGAAAAAAACTAGTTGATGTAATTATTCGTCCAAATATGTTTGATACTATAGGCTGTGATTAGGACTAATTAGGTACAGCTGTTCTATCGTTTATTTCAGCACCTAATAAAGCTCCATTAGTAATATGTCGAGGTCGATCGTTCGATGCTACTGTACTGTTCATAATCTTTGATTTGAATTCTTGTGATCTCTAACTATAATATACTGTGTACTGTAAAAACGCATACGACTTGTAAAATCAATTTTATGATAACACCCGATAATTTGAAATTTATTGATCTGTCGATAAAGCAAAAACCATCAAATAGAAGTTGATCTCTGTTTCTTGAATGATTTACATTGTTCAATAACAGTACAGTAAGATAGAACATTAGCGCAGACTAAATAAACAAAAGAAAATCTGTTCATTTCTACAAGAATGATTGACCGAGTTCTGAAGAAATGTATCAGTGGTATGGCAAGATGTCGTATTTTTCTATTCATTAGTTTCGAATTGCATGATGCCGTCGAATATTTATATTATCCTTTCCATAATTAATTAATCGCGATTCAAAGGTTGTGTCACACAAATTCTCTATTCCATTAAGATATTTTCAAATGAACCAAACGATTCTTTATATAACTAGTCAATCGATCTCATTCATAAATACCTATTGAAAGAGAAACAATGAACCTTGTGTATTATTTATAACTTTTTCTCAATCAATTACAAGGTTAGATTTCTTTACTTTTGTCAATTTGAACTTTCAATTCATATAACAATGAAGAATTTGAAAGAATAAATAATTTTTAAAAAGATTGATTTAATAACATGCCGCCATATCAATCCCATTAATTTCTTTACATACAACGTCCATAAAGAAAACCGGTCAACATCGAAAAACAAAAAGAAAAGAACGAACAATAGAAGTACAAATTGTTCTTTGTATATATATGCGTTAGTTCATACAAAAACGAAACAACATAATTTGTTGTTTAATATAATATTTTAAAAAATAAATATGTACTAAATAATAAGAAAGAAATTCAATGACGACTGACTAGGCCGTTGTTGATATAGCATTATAATAATTTGTTTGTATATTATCGATATTATGTGATGCTGAACTTGTTGTTGAATTTGATCTTTGTAAATTTTCCAAAATAGATACTGTTGATGTTGATGAATATGGTTGATTATTTACAGTAGTTGATGATATTGATGCTGATGTATTCTGTGAAGTTTGTATTTGATTTTGTATTAATACAATATTTTCTTCAATATCTTTTGCATCGATTAATAATGTTGATTTCATTCGTATAAAATGATCATAATCATCTAATTGTTCCGAAGTTAGATATTTTTGAAGAATATTTTTTACTAAACGACTACGTCGATCAATACCATCTTTTAATGATTTAGCTTCATCATGTTTTTGTTGAATTTTTTCACGTCGGTCAAGTAAACTTGCCTAAAACGATAGCAAACATATTCATCTATCATTATTTCTTTTTTGTTTGATTCAGATCAACTTGACTTTCTTTAGTTATAACAACTATGTAGTCATCTTTTTCTACGGAAACAAACGTAATAATTTATGTTCGCTTTAATGAGAGATTTCACAATTGACATCCTCATTTTGCATGTCAAATTCATGATAATAATAGTCGTATATTAATCATCGTAGATAATTGAACTTACTTTTCCAATTAATGACTATGGTTACTATAGTGTGAAAAGGTTGTACTGATTTAACAAGAAATACTAATGGATGAGACAATTCAGATAAGTAGTCTAAAGCATTTTTCCTCCAGGCGTTTTTGTCTATTCTTAACGAACTGTCCGTCTATTACTTAAACTTTTTTTTCTTTTGGTTACAAGCTATAACCTTTCAACTTGGAAAGGAAAATATCTACATTTAGTAATAATGAATGAACTCTAAAAAATGAGTAATTACCTTAGTTTGATCTTTATCATCTGTAATAATCGATAAATCATTCTCGACTTTAGCCAATCGAGTACTAAGTTTAAGAAGAACTGATGTAATTGTATCAATTTCACTAATATGTAATTTAAATTTTTCAATTTCATTGGATTCACCTTTTGATTCAATTATATCAATTAACTAAAAACAAAAATATTTTATGTTTTCTTTTTTAAAAACTAAATATCAGTATACCTTTAGACCAAGTGTTGTATTTGTTTCAATTTCATCATTGATTGTTCGTTGATTTTCTTTTAATGTTTCTAAACGTTTTGTTAAATTTAATAAAAGATCATCCTAGAAAAAAAACAGCAGAATTATTATTCATTAATACTTTCAAATGTTTCCTACTGTATGTTGACCATTATCAGTTATTGTTATATCATTATTAGTATTCGATGATGAATTTTGTCTCGAACGATTACGTTTATTATGATCAGGTATTGGAAATAAATTTCTTACATATTCCGAACTAAGATGATGTTCAGGATTCGTAAGATTGGATTCATTTAAATGAGATGATGATGATGATGAAAGTGTTGGTAAATCATGTGTAGAATTCATTTGTGTCGGAGGTGCAAATTTAATATCACTCATTGATGATGATGCTGACGATGGTGCTGCACGTTGTACAGCTTTAACAATTCGAACTGGTTTACGATAAACAGTTGGTGGAAGTGCTGCTTGATTTGATGATGAATCAAAATATTTTGTTGTTCTTATCATTGAGTCAGAAGAAGGCGGTTGCCTAGATAATAAATCATTTCGTAAGTATCTTTTTTTAAGAGAAGAAAAAAAAAAGAATGATAAACTAACTAAAGATAACATATTTTCTACATGCATCATTCTTTCAGTCATGTCTAAGTCAAGTGCTGCAAGTGATCCTCTTTATCATGATGTTAGTCCCGAATATGTACGTTATACTCGTTTATTTTTTATGTTCACTGTTTTAATATGTTTTACATCAATTATATGTGCTATTGTTCAAGCTCATGATGAAAAAAAATTTTATATTATTATAATTAGTTTAGTTGTATCAATAGTTTTTGTTTTATGTATTTATTTATTTTTTCAACGACGAATACTTTTAGCTGAAAAACTTTGGTTTGTTAATTTAACAATATTTATTCTATTCCTACAAGCTATTATTTATTTAATATTTGTTTTTATTAAACCATATCCTATTCCAATTACAACGACATTTCAATCGACAACACCTTTTTCAACAACACCATCGAATTCAACAACAAATATGACTAATATTACATCAACAACTGTATCATCAACGACAACAAAATTATATTCATGGAATAAAGAAGCATTTTTAACGAAATTATATGAACAAATTGATGATATGTGATATATATTCTTATAAAATTTCTCTTGATATTTTAATTTTCATTTATAAAAATTCTATTTATTTTCATTATCTTATCATATGAAGATTCTATTTATGACTAATCTAGACGAGCTTATTTTCTCTTTTTTGTAGGTTGAAAAAAAAATTGTAATTTATTTCGATGGAAGAATGACAATTGAAAGATGTACTAAAAGTCAATATGGAAGTATATCAAAACTATTGGTAGAATAATAAATAACTATCTGTACAGTTATAAAACGGAATATTTTCTCGAATCGCATTACTTAGTAGAACGCTCATTTTATCATATAGCTAAAGAACACTGTGAGTTCTACATTATAGTCTTTATAAAAATTGTTCACTTTGAATTCTTTTGTGAACTATATAAAACATTATTTTATATCTTATCAAAAAGAACTTGAAGTATCATAAGTAAATATAAAAATTCTAACATATCAGAATAGATATTAGTAAAATATTTTCTTACTTTGTAATATGTCGTTGATTGGTATTTGTTGGAGGTAAAGTATAAACTTTATTATTTGTTGATCCTGATGAATTATCTGTATAAATACGATTTTCAAAAAATTGTCGTTTTGATTGAAAATCATTTGATGTATCAAGTGCCACTGGTGAAAGTAATTCTTGTACACGTGTTTGTCCAGCAGATTTTGGTCGTAAAAAACTTCGATTTATTGATTTTGAATTTTCATTTTCATTATTTAAAGTATCTTTTGACCTTGATCGAGACAAAGAATAATTATTTAAATTCATTGCCACTGATCGATTTGTTTTTGCTATTGAACGTGATTTTTCACGTAAACGTTCAGTATATAAAGCTGGTGTATCTTCAAATGAAATATCAGTTCCTAAAAAAATAATTAAGATTTTTAATGAATTAAATAAAGGAAAATCAAAACAGTCTGACGTCGTCTATGTATGTAAAATAAAAAGAAGCAAAAAAAAGAAAGAACGACTTTATTAGTAAAAGAACAAGTTGTATTTACTAAAGTAGTTGAGTAGAAGAGATAAACATGTTTCTTTCGTTCGTTTCTTTTTCTTTTCTTTTCTTTTTTTACAACTAGTATACTTTTTACAAAAAAAAAGAAGAAAAAAAAGCGAATGATTTGGATTTAGTTTAATAATAGAATAGAGAAAAAGTAAAGTTTTGTTAAATTTTTGTATTATTAACTGAAGAAATATTTCTTTTCTTTAAAAGAAAATATAAAAAACCTCTTAGAGAAAGGAAAGGTGAATACTATGATTCATAGGTTGTTTTTAATTAAAGTATCAATAGTGTATAGCAAAGAAAAAAAACTAGGAAGAGTTGAAACTTTACAAGTTTTGTTATCAAATATTGACTATTTTAATCATATACATTGTATAATGATTATCAAACTTTTATGAGGATTGATCTTTATCAATAAATGATATATGTAGTTTAAGAGATAAAAATATGTAAATTAATTTTTAAAGTCTCACTCATGCTTGACATATGATGAGTAAATGTATAAAATCCTTCCAAGTTAAATATAACTAGTTTTCTTACATATTTGTTAATAGATTAAAAAAAACTTGAAAATGTCAGAAAAAATTTGAAGTTTCTATTTTCAAAGAATAATTATCGTTTTATTATAAAAAAAAACTTAAGTTAACTATTAGTCATTTACAATGCCAACTGATGTTATAAATCATTGACTATTCATAATCAATTAGACTTTTGTCCTATCTTAACAAAAATAATTTCATACCTATACGTAAACTTGTATTATCATATAGACTTTGTTCAGAATAAGAACCAACTTCTTCTTTATTATTTAATATTAATGATGTTGGAGGTGGTAAAACATCTGTTTGATTACCATTGGTTATTGATAATGAATCATCGTTGTTATATGTCGAACTACAATCAAATACTCATTTCATATACAGTATACGATAAAGAAGAAAAAAAAAGAAGGAAGAAAAATGAGACACACATAAGGTTTCTAATCATTTGTATAAAATATATATTTGTTCGATTTCTCAAATAGAATAGAAATGATTCATACCTAATAGTATTATTCTTGATTGTATTCGATTCCGATTGTTTATGTTTGATTAAATTGGAATGTTTATTCTAAATAGAGTTGACAAATATATATTGAACAGATGTATACATTTATGATATATATATATATTCTCATTAAAAATCTTTACTTCAAGATATTTATTTTGTATAAATAAGAAAAAAAGAACGGTCAAGTGGACTAATGAACTTACTTGTTCGATAGGTGATACCATTTTTATTTGCTCAGGGTCATTGTTCAATCTAGTAGATGGTGGTTGTTGTTGTGGTGGTGGCCAAAAAGCTTGAACAGAATCAGAAAGTATAACTGGTTTTGTTTGAGAATATGGTCCTGTTTGATAAATTTTATTTTGATAAGCTGAACAAGAAAATGTTTCATCATCAAGATCATGTATTTGTGATTCATATGAAGATGATGCTGACGATGGTGATGATGATGAATTTGTACTTATACTATTCATACTAACGTTTGATATTGTACGATTTGTGTTTGTAGTCTTTTTTGATACTGATGATGATAATGGTGGATATAGATAATAATGATATTGTGGAGGCGTCGAAATGATAAGTGTCGATGTTTGCATTATCTTTCCAATCGATGATGATGATGATGCTGATTCATTAGTATTAGACAATGATTTTGAAGAAAGAAAATATCCATCTTTTTTTGTTGATTGAGCTGGTTGAAATAGAAGACCATTAGATAATGAATCTTCTTCATTAGATTTTGTAGTTGTTATTGTAGGTTTCATTAACATTGATATTGAAGTTCTATTCATATTCGTATTTGGATATGATGAGATCGATGGATCTAAAAAAAAGATGATAGTTGTATGGAACAGAAACAATCAATAACCTTCGAATGCTCTCTCTGCACCTACTTATGAACATGTCATCATAGTTAATTCTCTAGCTGACCTTCTCTAATATACTTACCAGTGTTATATGAAGTTTTACTATTGATATTATTGTCTATCGTCGATTGTCGTTCTCTTTGACCGTTTATTATAGCCTTGTCAATATCTCCTTTCCATACATTATTTAAAGATATAGAAGATGTATGATATGATTCAATATCAGCACTAAGACGTTTATTGTCTTGTACTATATGTTGTTTAGGTTTTCGTTGAGTAGATGCTGTACGTCTTAAATATTTCGTATCGTCAGGAGATGATGGTTTATTATTGTTACTATTTGATCGATTAATAAAATTAAAAAATCCTCCAGTACCAATAAATTTCTTTGTCGTTGTCGTTGTTTGGGAATTAGGTGTTTTCATAAGTAAACTATTAAACGGCATCTGTTTTTCAGTTTCTGAATACGTTAAATTTTTATCTAAGAATTAATAATAGATAGACACTTTCAATATAGAGAGAAAAAAGAAGAAGAAGAAGACGAGAGGTCAGTCATACCTGTATTAAAATTGTTCGTGCTATTTGATTCTTTTGTCGGTGTGGTATCATAGTTGCCATCATCATTGGAAGTAACTGTAGTTGAATTAGGAGTGCTATAAAGGTGAGTAGCAGCAGTTGTTACTTGTCGACTAGAAGTGCAATTTAGTTCATCGACATTTTCTTTTTTTTCTTGTCTAGGTCTTCGGCTATCGCTATTCTCTTTTTTCGCTAGTGGTGATGGCGAGAGAGAAAAAGAACGATGAATTGATGTATGTGTGGTCAACGGTGT